GCCTCAGCAATGGTGAGGCGCTAAGCAACTCAGTGAGACCCTGTCTCTAAATAAATACAAAATAAGTCTGGGGATTTGGCTCAGTGGTTGAGTACCCCTGCCCTAAATAAGTAAGTAAGTAAATAAATAAAAAATATTGTGTCCATCTACAACTAAAAAAAAGTGGATTTTTTTTTTGTTTGTGTGTTACTGAGGATTGAACTCAGGGACACTCTACCACTGAATTATACCCCCACTTCTTTGAGACAGGGTGTCTCTCAATTGCCCACACTGACCTTGAATTTGGAATCCTCCTGCCTCAGCCTCCTGATTATCTGGGATTATAGGTGTGCATCACTGTGCTGGACTCCTCATAATTTTTGTTCTTTAGATTTGTGAAACTGAAAAGCATCTGGAGTTCAGGACCAGATTGTGTACCTCCTGGCTCACCTAGTGTGAAGGGGTGCTCACCAAGCTGGGAGCATCCATCAATCACCAGTACACACACTCCTAAATCAGCTTCTCAGCAAGATGGTCCTTGGACAAAAGCTGTCCATCTTTTTGACCGAATTTTGAAATAAAGTCTCCATCCTTGCCTCCACACCTTGTCTGTTAATTGTCCTGTTGAAGGGAGCAGCTGGCCTTGAGTCCTGTGACAATCTCTTGTGGCTCAAATCTGGAGGGATTTTGGGTTGCTTACAATTCGTGGAGATGGAGGGTTATGCTAATCTCAGCTTCAGTTATATCTCAAGAGGCAAAGGGGCCTCAGAAGATGTCTTACGTTTGTGAATATACAGAATAAAAGCTTGGGATGGGCTGCACCAAATTGGCAGTAGCTGCCTCTGGGAAGAGAGTGGGCAAGGAGAGAGGAAAGGGATTTTTACTTTTGCTTTATGTCTAGGTCTCATAAATTGTTTTTAAAACATTTTATGGGCCGGGGTATGGCTTGCTGAATGTGCTTGAGGCCCTGGGCTTGTTCACCAACACCAGAAACGAAACATTTTTACAGTGAGCAGACTTCATGTTTAGAAGGAAAAGAAAATGCCCCACCCCCCACCCTACAAGGATGCATGGCTGTTGTTGCAAAGTCAGCCATAGGATAGGAAGTGGAAGCAAGTAACAAGTTATCAACCAGCTCTCACGGCTTTTCTGTTGCTGCTGAGCTCTGGGGAAGAGTCCAGCCCCGGGATTGGCCTCTACAGGTCTGACAGGGCTATTTTGTCCCAGACCCAGAGTGGCCAAAAAGGCTGCTTCAGGCCTAGGGTCTGAGAGGTCTTGGCCCCTGTGCCTGAAGTGTCCTGCTGTGGCACAGGCCAGCTGTAGGTCATGGGTATGTCTAGGATCTATTGGGGCAGTGCTTGGAGAATGGAGCCCCTAAGGAAGTACCACAGCTGTGGGAGTCATATTAAAGCCTGTGGCATTTAAGGCACTGCCTGTTTGTGGCACAGTGGTCAGGAATTTGGCCAGATTACTGTGAGCAGGTTACTTAACCCTTCTGGGTTTCAGCATTTATTTATTTACTTATTTTTGAGTAGTGGGGATTGAACTCAAGGGCACTCAACCACTGAACCACATCCCCAGCCCTATTTTCGTATTTTATTTAGAGACAGGGTCTCACTGAGTTGCTTAGTGCCTCACTTTTGCTGAGGCTGGCTTCAAACTCTCCATCCTCCTATCTCAGCCTCCTGAGCCATTGGGATTACAGGCATGCACCACCACACCTGGCCAAGGCTTTTGAACAACTCAGAAAAACATTCTCCAGCCTGCATTTTGGTGGGAGATGAAAAGATATATATATATATATATTTTTTGTCAGCTAGTCATGCTTTAATTTCCAGTCCAGGCTCCGAGTTTCCGGTTAATTCATTCATTCAAAAAATGCTACCTTGGCCCACCTGAAGAATAGGGTCAGTTTGTGGACTGGACTCTAGAGCAACATAGGCCTGGACTCCTGGCTTGGCCATCACAACATGTGTGACCTTAGAAGGCCTCTCACCTCTCCAAGACCAGATTCTTCACCTGTGAAGTGTGCTGATTTCTACTTCCTCAAATTGGTTTGAGGATTACTGAAAAAAATCCATTGCTTTGATTAGGACTACTTTCAGCTACAAGTAACAGAATATCTGACAAAAATAAGAAAGGCATTTTATTGTGTCATGTTTAAGTATCTGAAGATTGTGCAGGGTGATGCATACCTGTAATCCCACAATTTGGAAGACTGACGCAGGAGGATCGAAAGTTTGAGGGCAATTTGCATGACAAGACCCTGTCTCAAAAAATAAAAAGGGCTGGGAACGTAGGCCAGTGTACAGCACTCCTAAATTCAATCTCCAGTACTGTATTAAAACAAACCAAAAAACTCCAAAACTTATAATACATGTAGACCTTTTTTTGGGGGGGTTGGGGACTACCAGGGAATGAACTCAGGGGCACATGCCCAGCCCTATTTTGTACTTTTATTTAAAGACAGGGTCTCACTGAGTTCCTTAGTGCCTTGCCATTGCCAAGGCTGGCTTTGAACTCATGATCCTCCTGTCTCAGCCTCCTAAGCCACAGGAGTTATAGGCATGTGCCACCACGCCCAGCTTACATGTAAATTTAATATCACAATGTGATGGAATTGAGGCCTAACAAAGCCATCGTTGCATGCTGTGTAAAAAAAGACTGTAGAGGACTGGGGATCTAGCTCAGTTGGTGGAGTGCTTGCCTCACATGCACAAGGTCCTGGGTTCAACCCCCAGCACCCCAAAATAAGACTGCAGAGGGGAAGGAGTTGAACCTGGGCACCTCTAAGAAGCCTGACAGGTAGGGCCTTGGTTTAGGAAACTGTTAGAATGTGGCTGGACCCCCTTCCAGGACTTGGCATCATGGTGCTTGCTTGGTTATCCCTGGAGGGGGCACTGTGTACATCCACTGGTTCGCTAGTGGATGCTGCCCATTTTCCCTGTCAGTGGAGTTTGACAGAGTGATGCATCTCTGGAGTTATTATGTGTCAAAGGGTTTGGAGAACATTGATTAAGGAAGCATTTTTGATTGATAACAATCACACGCACAAAAAAGACTGTGGGGTCTGTTATCTCCAGAATTATCATCCATTGAGCTACATCCCCAACCCTTTAAAAAGAAAACTTTTTTGGGTACCAGGGCTTGAATCCAAGAGCACTTAACCACTGAACTACAACCCCAGCCCTTTTCATCGAGACAAGGTCTTGCTAAATTGCTTAGGACTCAAGTTGCAGAGGCTGGCTTTGAACTTGCAGTCCTCCCACCTCAGCCTCCTGAGCCTCTGCCATTACAGGCATGTGCCACTGTGTCCTGCTACCCTTTTTATTTTTGAGGCCTGCTGCCAGGCGGGCCTTGAATTTGCAATCCTGCTTCAGCCCTCCAAGTAGCTGGGACTACAGGTATGTGCCACAAATGGCTTCTCCAAAGTTACTTTAAGTGAATACAGGGAAATATTTAGTATACCATCTTCACAAGAGAGAATATAAAATATTGCTTGTATTTTTAAAAATGAAGAGAAAATCATAAGTCATTAAGTGCAAAGAGATGGAGATAAAGAACCCAGGATAGAAATTGGACTTCTTTGAATATATATATTTTTTGTATGTGGGGGAGGATGGCTGGCAATGGAACCCAGGACCTTGCAGTATCCATGTAATCACAAGCTTTTCCACTGAGCTATACCCCCAGTAAGATGTTTTGTAGACTATACTTATTACAATGTAAATATTTTACATAATTAAATTGAAAGGACTTCTTAAAAATGTAACAGGTTAACGTATTGATCTAGCAGATCCATAAAGAATAAACTGATTGTGCACACCTATTAGTAAATACCTCCAATAACTTAATAAGCCCTAAATAAAACCTTAGAGCTGCCTTTTGTTCTTCTGATACTTTGTGTAAAACAACTAGTGTTGAGGATATATAGATTTAGGAAAAAACCCTCTGGTCTTGTGTTTTTGCAGTGCTGGGGATTGAACCCAGGGGTGCTGTATCACTTTGTTTACATACATTCTTAACCCTTTCTCTCTTTGAGGGGGTGTGGGGGAAGTACCAGAGGTTGAACTTGGGGACACTCACCACTGAGCCACACCCCCAGCCCTGTTTTGTATTTTACTTGAGACAGGGTCTCATTGAATTAGTTAGCACCTCTCTCTTTGCTCAGGCTGGCAATCCTGTTTCAGCCTCCCTAGCAGCTGGGATCATAGGAGTGCGCCACCATGCTGGGCCCAACCCTTTAATTCTGAGATAGGTCTCACCAAGCTGCTCAGGCTGGCCTCAAACTTTGCATCTTCCTGCATTAGCCTTCAACATATAAAGGATTACCGGTGTGTGTGCCACCATATCCAGCTAACTTTTGGTCTTGCAATGTCCTTCCCCGCCAAGCCCCCCACCCCCCCCAGAATTATCTGACTCAAAGTCTGGAACAGAAAACATACAAGACAGGAATAAACAGCAAGAAATTTATCAAATACCAACAAGGTTGAATTTTTTAAAAAAGATTTAGGATCTGAACTTGAAGAGCTCTTGACTGGACAAAAATATAGAATGTGAACACCAAAGTTTAATAATTGCAATGAATCCATGAAACATGAAATTTATTTTTCATTTTTTATTTTTTACTTTTTGGCAGTGCTATCAAACCCAGGGCCCTGAACACAGCAGGCAAGTGCTCCACCCTGGGCCATGAAACATATTTAATGATCATGGCACTAAATATACTAGAAGTCCACCCACGAGTCACCTTTGGAATATGCTAATAAACCAACTCATTTTAAAAGTGAGCAAAACTGGCTGGCATGAGATTTGGGCATTTATCCTTCTTCCAGTATGACTTGCAACTCTGGGTAACCAAAGAAGAGAGAAATGAAAAGTTTTTTTTTTTCTTCCCCCCCCAGCAAAATCCACATTTGGGAAACAGATATAGAGGGAACCCATATGCTGAGATTGAAGAGACAGGCAAACTAATCACAATGTATGGATCCCGATTCAAACAAACAAAAGACAATTAGAAATTTGAGATCTTAGGTATTTAATAATATTAAGAAATCAATGTTAATTATTTTTGGTATAATGGTATTGTGATGTTAGTCGTCTACATCCTTTAGATATATACGAATCATACTATTCGTTAGGTTATGCTAAAGGGGACAGTAATACAAATTAAATAAAACTGGCTCCAGTTGCCAACTGCTGGAGCTACACGATACGTGCACAGGGGTTCATTACATTCTACTTTGGCAAATATTTCAAATTTTCCATGACAAAAATACCCCTAAATTTTTAAAGTCAAGTCACCATGACTTACCCAGTAGTGATGTGCTATGATGGAAGTAGGAGAGCAATTTGGGGTCACTTTCAGACTTTTTACACCTTGTGGTACTGGGGATTGAACTCATGGATGTTCTACCATTGAGCTACACCCTTAATCCTTTTTGAGACAGGGTCTCAGTAAGCTGCTGAGGCTGGCCTTTAACTTGTGAGCTTCATGCCTCAGCCTCACAGGGATTACATCCTTGTGCAACCAACTATTAGCTTTTTTCCTACTTTCCAGGTTTCTTAAGCAATGTAATGGATGGTGGTTGGTTTTACATCCCAGCCTCAGTGGTGATGCTTTTATCAGATCTAAGGGAAGCAGAGAGGTAATGTGAAGAACAAATCAAGTTGCGTTTTGGTCACACTGAAGTTGGGGAGCCTGTGGTGTATCTGGATGAAACTGCCTAAAAGGTTGGTAAAATAACTGACCTCATAAGAGATAAGGGCAAGAGATGAAAATGTGAGTCACTGAATGATCTCACAGGGAAAAACTCAAGAGGAGATTTCAAGGAAGGATGTCTTGGGAAACTGGAAGGCTCAGAGAGGCCTATAAATTTAAAATAGTAAGTATGGACTCCTACTTCACAGCTCAGAGGCAGAGCTCTTGCCTAGCATGCACAAGGCCCTGGGTTTGACCCCCAGCAGTGGAAACAAACTCAGAAAACTCAAAAAGCTGGGTTTAGTGAAACATGCCTGCAATCCTAGCTACGAGGGAGGAGGTTCATAAATTTGAGGCCAGCTTTGACAATTTAGCAAGACCCTGTCTCCAATTAAAAAAAAGGGGGGGGGGGGGCTGGGAATAAAGCTCAATAGTAAAGCCCCCCCCGGGTTCAATCCCCAGTACACCCCCACCCAATAAATACTTTTGTTCATCAGATGAAGTGAAAACAACCCACAGAATGGAGATATTTACAAACTATGTAAAGATCTAATATCCAGAATAATCGTTACATTTCCACAATAAAAACACAAACCAATTTAAAGATGGGAAAAAAACGATCTCAATACACATTTTTAAAAGATATACAAATGGTCAACAAATATGAGAAGATGCTCAACATCCTAGTCACTAGGGAAATGCAAATTACAATCACAAAAGAAATACCACTTCATACCCACTAGGATGCCTACCATAAAAAAGGGACAGTGATGTTGAGAAGTGAAGAAACTGACACCCTCATAGATTGCTGGTAGGAGTGAAAATAATGCAGCTACTGAGAGTTGGGCAGTTTCTCAAAAGTGGAATAGTCACATGAGCCAGCAATCCCATTCCTGGGTGTGTGCACAAAAGAATTGAAGATATGTTCACACAGAACTTGTACATGATATTCACAATGGTCAAAAGGTAGAAACCCAAAGTCCATAAACTGAGGAGTAAACAAAATGTGGCTTATGCACCCAGGGACACCAATGAATTACATACCACTAGGTAGACAAATGGATCTTTAAAACACTATGCTAAGCGAAACAGTTAAAAAAAAAAAATGAAATGATTCCATTTAAAACAAATGTTCAGAATAGGAAAACTTATATAGAAAGATTAGTAATTGGCTAGGGCTGGGGGAGGAAGGAATAAGGAATTAACTAATAGGTACAGGGCTCTTTTGGCAGGTGGTGAAAATATTCTACAGACAGTAGACTATTGTCCAACACAGTGAATATTCTAAAGTCCACTGAATTGTATACTTCAGAATGGTGAAATTTATGTTGTGTGTATTATCTCTGAAAGAGGGAGGTTATACACAGCAGTGTCAAATGCTACAATGAAGTCACATGAGGTCAGGTTTAGATACAGAATCTGTGTAAGTTTGTCATCCCATAGCCCTTTCACTTCCAGGAACATCTACCCTGCCCTTATTTAATACCAATGATCCTGACTGGTCTAAACAGATTCTGTGATTTCTTCCCTGGTTAATATTGATTTAGAAATAGGCAGACTGAATAACTGATGAAATAGGCTGTTAGGTTTTCTGACAAAGATTTTTTTCCCCTCCTGGTACTGAGAATTGAACCCAGGGGCACTGTACCATTGAGCTACATCTCCTGCCCTTTTTATTTTTAGACACTGTCTGGTGTTACCTAGGCTGGCCTTAAACTTTGAAATCCTCCTGCCTCAGCCCTCTGACTTGCCAGAATTATGGGTGTGTGCCACCATGGCTAGCTTTAATTATTCTCAAAAAATAAGTCCTCCTCTTTGCTTCTAGACACTGGTATCTCATGCTACAAGCAGCCAACTTGGAAGGCCAGGTAGCTCGAAAACATGCCAAAGGCAGCAGCGCAAAAAGCCGCCCTACTTTAGAGCTTCCCGTTTTAGGAAATAAATTCTCCTCCTCTTTAAGCCCTAAAGTTCCTAATGTAGGTAACTGGTGAGTCTTCTTGAGACTTTTTATACTCCAAAACTGGTCAAATCAATAAATACTTTCCAGGAAGAAAAAAGAAACATTCAAGCTCACCATGCAAGTTTTTGGCAACATGAAAAACGACCAATGAACATAAGTCAAAACAGACTACCACCAAGAAACGTTCAGTCACTATATCTGAGCTACAAAACAGGGTTAATACCCACATCTCAGAGGATTTGCCAAAAAATTAAACAGGAGCACATGGCAGAACTTCTAGCAGTCCACAGCTCAACATTTTACTAACCTGAATATTGATAAAGAACCCTAGTAGCGGCTTTCCCAAGTTCTGGAATTTTTGTTCAAATATCAACCTGATGTACCTAAGTACTCTGAGACATCTGTGATTATTTCCATTCTGGAAGATCTTTTTGAGTAAAAACTAGGTGTTAAGCATGTACACCCTAAATCTTCAGCAACAGTAAAATTGAAAGTGGCTTAAGTGGACAAATGATATTTCACCCAGTGCCCCCAAACCTAAGTGTTAATGACTTCTGACAGGTTAAGTTGGGTGTTTGAAACTGGATTTCACTGCTTCTTCTATGTACAAATAACTATAAGTAGATATTAACACACCACACAACTGTCTCAAACCTTAGGGTAAGAGATAATATATAAATCTTCATCAATAAGAAACTTAACTGACCAAAGTCAATTTTGTTCAGCCTCCAATTTATTTTACTCTCCTGAAATATACAACCGGATGATGTAAAAGCAAACTCAAAATCACAATCAGTGAATTCTATATTCTGATACTAAAGAAAGTTCTCTGCAGATTCTCCAATAACTCCCATTAACATCTTTATTTGCAGACCACCTTAGAAGTAAGTGTCACCTTCCCTATACAACACAGGGACATCTGACAAGCCTACAGCATTTTCTATTAATTTTCAAATTTATGTCATATGTGGATGAAGTAGACACTCTTGGCTGTCAGCTACCAGGCCAAACCTTAAAACCACCAAAAACTTCCATGTAAAAACACTTCAGGGACTGCTTGCTACATAATCTTAGGCAGAAACCACTTCTCTGCTTATAGCCTCTCACATCTACTCCTGGGAGCCTTCCCAACTCCACCTATCACTATGTTTTGGAGACAGACTACAAAGATCCATGAAAGATTACCGGACAATAAATGGAACCTCTACACCACACCACCAGAATACATCCAGTCTCAAGAGACTTGGAGAAGCCAGGTTCCCCATTGGTGGGAAAAGATCAGAGGCAGCATTCCAAGCCAAACTGTATCCAGCTTTATTAAAGATACTTTTCATAAACAATCATGGTATTTCAGGCAGGACATGGGCAGACAATCGTTAACAGTATACAACAACTTTCAAACTCCTTTCTTGAATGGACTACCAAAATCAGAAAGCCACTATAAAACCCAATGAAGTCTTCATTTGATGCTCTGAATAGGGAAAGTTTAGAGTGAGGGTTGACATTTCACATTTAGCATGTTGTTTAACAACTTTTCACAAGCCGACCCTGACTTTCAGGAAATGAAAGGAAAATGGCAAAAATTATTAATCTGAAGATCCACAATCTAGAAAAGGAACTGCTGCTCTTCTGAGGGACACTATTCTCAATGACGTCACTGGAAAGTCCAGATTGCCCCACACACTGGTAAAACCAATCGTTGGGAATCAGGTCCCAATAGGTCTGAGTTTAGGGGAATTAAGTCTATGCCGATGGCAGAGAGGGACAGGAGGACATACAGATGAGTTTGAGTTTTTCCATACCACAAGGCATTTGTGCCAAGGTGGCTATGTGTGCCAACATCAGGGAATCCCTTCCTCTTGGGAACAAAGAGGAAGTCTCTCAAAACTAGAAGGGAAAGGTGTCTTCCCCCATAGCAATCCAGCTTTAGAGACATTCTACTAGTGACATATGCTCCTTCCCCCGAAAAACAACAATGAAGTGTTCTGTGTGCTAACAACATAGCTTAAAAAAAAAAAAAAAAGTAAAACAAAATTCTGCATTTTTATAAAACTTGATAAAAAATAGTATTTCAAACTGTACAGTCACCAGAAGTACACAGTTATCAAAAACGCACACACTTCACTTGGCATCTCCAGCACCTTCAGCTTTCTGTGCCTAAAAGAAAAACAGATAGTCTTAAAATCCACATGTTGCATTTATCTGGGTTCCTACTGCACCCACAGCATCATTCTAGCCAAAGGCTGGGTTTTGGATGCTTAGATACCAAGAGTCAGTACTCTGGACAATGACTTGCTATAGAACTTTGCTAGTCATCTTCCCTTTGAGCCTAATTGTATAATTTGGGAAGAAGACATGAGACTGTAACACAGTGCCTTTAAGCTGATGGCAGAGACTTTTAAGTTAACAGGAAGGTCACAACATACTTGCAATGAGAATCATTTTTTTTTTTTTAAAAACAGGGCAACAACAGGAAAAAACCATCATACCTGGTCTGTTTTGGCATCTCCATTTTCTGCAGGGTTATTCCCATCCTTGCCAGTGTCAGCTTTTCCCTTTTTCCCTTTGGGTACCTTCTCTCCCTTCTATAAAGGGAGAAAAATAGAACTGTTTCTCCCCACACATATTACCAAGGTATAGTCTGTGAAGTTCTACATAGTATACCTACCCAACCACCCATTTACAAGGACTGATCAAAAACTACACTAAATTAGAAAACATTTTTTAGAGGTCCTGTGGATTGAACTCTTGGTCTAGCACATGCTAGGCCAATATTACTAATGAGCTACATCCCCACAGCCCCCACCTTTAAATTTCATTTTGAGATAGGGTCTTAGTTGCTGAGGCTTGTTTCCAACTTACAACCTTCCTGCCTCAGCATCCCAAGTAGCTGGGACTATGGGTGTGCACCACCATGCCATGCTGTGAAGTTCAGCACACAAAAATTCATGTCTAAGTATAATTAATAGAAAAACCAGGTCAAACACTTGGGTGTTTAACATCCAAGGGCAGAGTTTTTGAACTGATGACAGAAATCAATGCTACCAACATCAGGAATAAGGCAAGCAAACAAAACAACTTTTAACATCCATCATGCTGAATTAGGTTAAGGTAGTGAAGTACAATTCTTTCTGTGAAAATTATCAATTCCAATATTAGCACCATTACCCCTTAAGTTCTTTCTACTTACCTTTGCAGGGGCCTTTTTAGGCTTGGGCTCTGGCTTTGGAGGAGCAGGTTTCTTATTTTGACAGGCAAAGGGGAAGAAGAGAATATTAGTACAACAAACCGAAGAAAACCCACAACCAAATCAGTACCAAAGGGATGGAAGTTTTCTCTTACTAAAGTTTTTTTTTTTTTTGTGGTGCTGGGGATTGAACCCAGGGCCTTGTGCATGAAAGGTAAGCACTCTACTAACTGAGCTATGTCCCCAGCCCATTACTAAAGTTTTTGTGGCTGGATTTCTTTCAGAATATCAAAACAAATGTGTCCCACCAGTGAACTCCATATGTGCAATAGTCCAAACTAGAGTATAACATTCAAAACCAGCCACTAAACATAATTCATCAGATGCAATGCTTTTTAGTTTCAGGAACAAATATTAAAAATTGGAAGTATATATACTTACGGCAGACAACCTTGCAGATCTTCTCTGTGGCTATTGAAATAAAAGTGAATAAAGTTAGAAAAACAAAAGTTTTGTGCCAATTTTGTTCTACACTACAGGGAATGAAGACAAATTCAAGACAAGAAATGTGGTTGATTATCACTAAAGGAGTCCTGTGGGGTTTTTTTGTCCAAGACTTTTGTATGAACCACCCTAAAGAAAATAAATAATACATACTTCGTCTTTCACCTTGGCTTTATCTCCTTTAGCATCCCCTTCAGCCTATAAAACAAAGACAAAGAACTAGTTTCTGAGGCGATTCTTTGAACTTAACGGGGTTCCGGGGGAAAAAAAAAAACTAGAAGTGTCACAACTTTGTGACACATGTCTGCCTAGCTTCCATACAAGGAACTGAAGTATTGAGCAGGCCTTAAGCTTGCACGGAGCGGGCCGGGTAGCGCGGGCCAAACCCCAGCGGGGCCGGCGCCACAGCTCCGGGCTGGAGCAACAGCTGCAGATGGTGCAAACAAACCCCTCCGGAGGCGGAGCCGAGCGCCGTTGCTATGGCAGCCGTCGAAGGCGGGAGAGAGGCGCGCGCAATCCCGGGGAACTCGTGGGCGGCGGCGCGCGTCTTGCGCGCGGGGCGCGTGGGCGGGCAGAGGCGGAGCCACACAGCACCGGCCCCGCCTCTCGAGAATCGGCCCCGCCCCCTCGCGGCGGCGGTTTTTTGGCGGCAGCGCGTTCCCCCGCCCGCCAACCCAGAATGCTGCCTTCCCGCCCTTTCGAGTTTGAATCGCCCGCCCGCTGGGAGAAGGGAGGGGGCCAGACGGTGGGGGAAGGGGCGCGGGGAGGGTGCGACGCGCCCGAGGAGAGTGGGATAAACAGCCGCCAACATGGCTCCTCCCGCCGTGGACGCCGCTCCTCCAATATGGCCTCTGGCGCCTGCGGGCAGCGACACCGCGCAGGGTTAGCCCGAGGCCGCCCACCCGGCCTCCAGCTCCGCGCTCGCTGGCTGCGCCGTTCTGGCCTGAGCCAATTCCCGCGCCCCGAGTCGAGGCGGCGGCGGCGGCGGCAGTGGTGGCTTGGCGCCTGCGGCCCTCGAGCCACGTACCTTTCTCTTGGGCATGGTGGCGACGGCAGCGGGACGCAGGCGCTGGACGCGGGGATGCAGCGGCGCGCGGCTTTGGTCGGTCCGGGGGTCGTTCTCGCCTCTTCACACTGCTCAGGCTCCGGGGGGTTTATAAAGTTTTTATAGCGCTGGGAGCCCCGGACCGGTTAGAACCGGATTTCACCTCCCGCCGCCGCTCATTGGCCCAGCTGGGGTCACGTGGGCGGGGTTTAAACTCACCTCCTCTGGAGGGAGTGAGGAGGGGGGTACAGGGGGGAGGGCGCGCGGGACGGCGGCGCGCCGAGGGGGTGGGGGCGCAGTGGGGGAGGCGCGCGTCTAAGGTAATAAATGAGGAGGGGCCCGCAAGGCGGCGGGCTATGTTTGCTCCCGCCGAGAGCTGGCTTTTGCAAACTATCAAGTTCCTTCCACCTTATGCAACCGAGCTACCCACTTCTCTAAGCCGTGCGACATTCAGGGCGCATCTCAGCCGCTTTCCTTCCTGCTCCCTCTGGGGGCCCCAGAAGAGGGGTTTGCGAGGTCTGGCCGCGCTGCCTTGCTCCACTGGAGGCGGGAGGAGGCGCGCCGCTTGAGGCACAGGCTGCTGCTCTAGGGGCCAAGGCTGACGCTAAAGTGGGAAGAGAGGAGGCCAGCTTGGCGCAGCCGGACGTGCATCCTTCCGAACTGCCACTTCGGGGAAGCCCTTCGAACGCCTCACCTGAAAGGCGGTCAGCTCGAGGTGGGGTGAGGGTTCGAGGGGGAGACTTCTCACGTAGAGATGCCTTTCGGGTGCTGCGGGGCAGGTAGGAGCTGTCCTTTCAGCACCCGTTGCTCTGCCGCCCCCCAAGCCTGTCGGTTGACTCCCTTAGGTCCCTGCATGAACAGACCTCAGAACCCTGGCACTGAGTGACGACGAATGGCCACCAAAAGGCCTGAAAGCACTCCCCTCCCCCTAAGCACTGCCCGTTTCAGATACATCTAGCCCAGCTGCCCCCACCCGACGCGGCCACCAAGTCTGGGCGCTGCAGACACTGCAGCTGGAGAAATCCCTCCTTCCACACTGTCAAGCTGGTTTCCTTTCACTTGCGAGAGAGGAAGGGGGTGGCAGAAAGCGTCTGGGGATTAGGAAACAAGTAGAGGAACAGGTGCTGTGATGGCAAAAGAACTCTATTCTAGTGTCCCTAAACTCAAAGCCAGGGGTCCTGGAGCTAGCCAAGTGCACCGGAGGATGGGTAGGCAATTGCAGCAGCAAAACAGGGTGTTCTTCTGTTGCACTTAAAACACATCTTAACATCTAAGAATTTTAAAAATTCTATTTGAGACCCAGGAGAACACAAGAACAGGATAAATATCCTCAAAAAAGGGATCTGGCTCACAGGTGGGAGGACACATAAATAGGACCCACCTGATTTTTGTGAGGCAAGGGTTGGTTTGTACAAATCATACCAGGAGAAAAGGAAACAACCACGAGTTGAAGTATCTTGCAGCCCTTGTTCCTGGGCAGTCATGAGCCTTCTGCTTCTTTCTTTACCACCCCCACAGTGCCTCTTGGGGCAGCTCCTCCCAACTCCACCCGTGTACCTTTCCCAGAATATAGGACCTCAGGCCAAGGAGAGATACCAGTCCCATTAATCATCTCTACCCGAATCTTGAAGGAGTCAGAGAAGGGAGACGGACCCAACAATCACGCTCACAGGGCAGATTCCGTTTGCTGCCTCCAGTCCCTCATTCCCGCCTTAATTGTAGGGCTCTGCATTATGGTCCCATAATTCATGCCTCCCTAATTAAGGCTGTCAACAGCCCCATTGTAAAGCTGGAAAATGTACAGCACCTGCTCTCTGGGAACCCCGTGCCAGGGATTGGTAGTGGGGAGTGCCAGGTGTGTAGGGGGCCTTGCCAAAGTATGTTGATTGGCTTCTCAACCGCACTATCTGGCATTTATCTGGGAGTAGGAATGATGGCCAAGGGGTCTCCACTGCCAGGTATGTAGGCACAGAAAGGAGGAGGAAACTAGAATATAGAAAATTTAGGGGTCTAAAGAGTACACTCAACACGGCTTGCAAGATCCCACCTCTCTCCTGGAAGGAAGTGCTGGGAAACAGCTTGCAGAATATAAAACGAGAAGACTAGAGTAGCATTTGGCCGGCATTACTGGTTGGTCCTTGCTGCTCTGGGGCACCTAAAGCACGGAGTTGCTCAGGCAGACAGCTCTTCAAAGGCAGTAATCCTCTCGGCAGCTCTGCAGAGCTGCCTGGCAAGGGGAGGTAAGGAAAAGGACATAGCCTTGAATCTGTACTCATCTTCCTGCTGGGCAACCTTGGCCCTCATGGGCAGAGAGGATCTGGAACAAGTTTTGCCATGCTGAGAATAAATCATCTTGGGGCCTACGTAGGGAGCCAGGTCAAAGAGCTATGGGAAGCCTCAACTATTGGAAGTAGGAATCAAGAGTTTGAGATGGTGAGGGCCGGAGGCAGTCAGGTGGGAAGATATGTATGTTCTACGCTGATGTGTCACAAGGAAGGAAGCCAGCGTTGGATTAGACTCACCAGGGCCTAGAGGCCCCTGTTACCCTGGAGCCATGGAGGGGGCCAGTCTCACTGGGGAGTGCAGCCTGGCCCCATGCCCTGCAAGGGGAGGGGAAAAGCTTGTGTGGGCTGAGTCGACAATAGGTAATTGGATTGTAATCACCCGCCTGGCTTCCTAGCGCCATTGGGGGCGCTGAGCCTTTCAGTGAGCAATCAGTATTGCGTGGTGGGAGGGGGTAGAGATTCAATAGCAAATCCCAGGTGGAGAGCCAAGGGGAGGAGCAGCAGATGGGCAAATTTTCTCTGTCTCTCCCGCCCCTTTCTTCCTTGCCCAAATAACACTGGCCGCCTATTAGCTGTTTACCAGCAGAAACAAGGTAGAGCCAAATCTTTTGTGAAAGTCAGGGGAGGGCTGATGGATGGGTAAAGGGCTAGGCGGTGGAGAGACCTCTTTGCTGCCATTCTGTGTGCTGAAGGATGTGCTGGTAGAAAAACCGCATCCAGAATATAGGTGGTGGTGGCAAAGGTGAATGGAGCAAATAGCCAATGAATTGGGATTCCTTGCTCTCCAAACCTACTGGTGTACTGGGTTTAGTGTACTTGTATGAGACTCTCACCTTCAGGGGCCATTATCCCAGTCCAAAGGTATGTATAGCCAGCAGAATTGGCATTGGGAGCTCCCCTAACAAGCCAAGAGGAGTGAAATTCATCACTTGGAGGGAGGGGCCTTTCTAAAAAAAAAAAGGGGCGGGTGGGGAAAGGAAGGGGAGTGGGGCCCTGGGGGCTGGAGGGCAAGGCAAAGTGGCAGGTGGCCAGCCTCATTCAGGCTGATGCAGTGCCCAGACGTGCCAGCCAGTTAGCTCGCTTGAGTTCCAAGGCCTGCAGAAAGCCTTGGACTCGCTCTTCTCGTCTGGCTGAGAGTTTGTGCAAGCGTGTCCGTCGGAGCTGGGCGTCCCCACTGGCCTGGAGCCCCTCTTGCAGCAGCTGCTCTGTCACTGCAGCCTGGTCCCTCTCCAGCTGGTGCCTCTTCAGTTCCTCTGCATACGTGTCTCGGGCCTTCTGCTAGGAGAAAAGTGGGGTTTGGGGTAGGGAGATCATGTTTAGGTATGGGCAGAACTGGGATGGAGGAAGTAGAGTAGGGCACAGGGTAGGCCAAGTGAAGTGGAACTGTGGAATTTGGACCAGCTTTGGAAAGTTTTGGGAATAGGTGTGCAGTAGGTGGTGCCCACATTGTGCAGGCAGGGCAGTGGCAGTTAGGGATCCATCTTGGTTTGTTTTGTGTAGCAGAATCTGTATTTCTCAATTCTTCTCAGGCTTGCACTTGAAAGGGAACCTGAAAAATGTGGATCTGACTTCTGATTTCCCCACCATCTAGCTTCGTGGCTTTGGGCAAATCCTTTCCTAACCTCATTTCTTCATCTGTAAAGTGGGGGTTGTGCGTACCTTGAAGAGTGGTTTTAAGGATTAAGAGATAATATATGCAAAACCCTCTTTAACATATTAGCAGGTTCTCAGACAGAAACAGCAATTTTATGTTGTTATTGTCTATTGTTTGCTGCAAGGAAGGGTTCTATTCTGGGGCACTGTTCATTGGGTCACTTCCTGTGGTCTCCCAGATTACTCTGGGAGTGCCATCCTTCCAATTCCCTGAATGAGTTTTCAGCTCCAGACTCTTCTCCTGTGTGAAGTCAGGCCTGCCTCTTCCAGCAAATGGCCTTTCTGTGAACACTGAGAAGCAAGTTTAACTCTCTCCAGTCACTTATTGCATCTTCCTAGAACAGGTGTTAGTGTCCAGAGTCCACTTTTACTGTTAGAAAATAAGCCCTTGAAGATTCCACAGAGCTCCTGGAACCAGTTCTAACACCAGGTGGCAATTATAGTCTCTGGCAGCACTTCTCAGACCTTGAGTGTATGCCTTCAGGCAAACCACAAACTCCTAGAGGTCAGGGACTGTGCTTTTTCCTCTGGCACTTGGGGTGCCTTTTACATGTGAAACAATCAGCTGACCGCTTGATCCTAGGAGAGAAGTGAGGATGCTCCTGGCACAGTAGGGGAATATCCCTTTGGAGCAGAACCCAGGCCTAGCTGTGCCACACTGATGCTCTCTGTTACTGCCAGTCTGTCTGGCCTATGGAGCCTTTGCACCAGAGCTTCTCCTGCCAAGCCTTTTTCATGAGTGGGCAACTAGGTGTTCCTACAGGATACCTCTAGGTATCCCAAACACTGATGACCCTTACCATGTTCTACCCTGTGGTCATGTCTTTGATCTAATTAAAGGCACTATAAGCACCTTGACTGCCTTTTTTTTTTTTTTAAATGATTGAACCCAGAAGGGCTTTACCACTGAGCTACATCCCCAATCTTTTTTTTTTTTTTTGAGACAGGGTCTTGCTAAGTTACTAAGCTGGCCTCAGACCTGTGATCCTCCTGCCTCAGTCTGAGTAGCTGAGATTGTAGGCATGAGCCACTGCATCAGGCTCCTGTCTTCATCCTTTAAAGAATGTCTAACATGTACACAGCACTTTATCTGTTTTCTCACTTGACCCTCACAATGGAGCTGTGAGGGAGGTGCTGTCTGTCTGTTGGAGGTTTGCTAAGATCTTTTAGCAATAAAGATCTACTGTATGAACAAAGATGACAAAAGAGGCAGGGCACAGTAGCCCAGGCCTACAATCCCAGCGATTCCAGAAGCA